AAAAAAAAAAAAAAAAAAAAAAAACACATCATAGTAAAATTAATACCTTCTCCGCTTCGCATCGAAGCTAAAAATTTAATTTATATAATTTAGCAGCCAACTTTTTTAGACTTATACGTCCTAAATAATGACTATTACTAATATTTAATTCGTAAAATTATTATCATCCTTGTGATGGGAAATATCGAAAAGCAACTATCGAAATATAGGTATATAAGTATATCTACAAATGGCTGTCGTAGCTAAAAACATGCTATTTTTGTGTTACAATTTTCGATTTTATATTTTCAACTTTAAATTACTATAACTTTTTGAAAAATGTATGGATCAACACAAATTTTTGTTTCTAAATAGTACATATATATTCTTTTCGTCCGAAATGTTTTTTTTTTAAATCGGACAATTTCATTTAATACAGGGCCGATTAAATCTTGAAAAATACGTATATAAAGTAGAACTTTTTTAACTTAATTTTTGATAATGTTTCGCAAATACTACGTCCTTTAAATATGTTAAAATAAAGCTTATTTTATGTAGGTTTAAAAGTTAAAAATTAGAAGTTTAAAAAAAAAAAATTGTATCTGACGACCCATTTTCTATGTGCAAGTGGCATCAAAGTAGAACAAAAAATAAGAGTTTAATAGCAAATAAAGCAATTAATTTTGTAATAACCCACCAATTACTTAAAATTAAACACTATCTATAGATTTGCATTAAAGGGTTTTTTTATAATTTTATTAATACATTAGGTATGTTCCTCAGGAAGGGATTAAATAAAATAACTTTTGCATAAAAAGTTAATCTTTTCGAGTAGAATTTTGAAAATGTCCCTGAAATTTTGCATCCTTTAAACATTTATAAATAAAGTATAATATAATATATTATAAGTTTTTTGTCTTGTCTTCTATATATAAATGGCTCCTGAAGTTAAACAAAATATGTTATTTTTATATGAATAATTAATGTTTTTATGTTATTATAATTTTATACTTCAATTATTAATATCTATACTTGAGGTCTATACTATAGTCCTATAAAATATATATGAGTAGGAGATAAGTACTCTCATTTAACTATCTTTACAAAAAAAAAAAAGTAAATAACATTTAAGTGTTAATTATAAATATTTTCAGTAAGGTTTTTGCACCTTTTAATGTCCACCTAAGAAGTACATCAAACGAAAATATTGTTAATGGTATTAACAAATATTAAAACAAAAAAGGGTTATAATGTTTTTTATTCCTCGGAATTTAAATTTAAAGTTATTTTAGTCACTATACATTTCTCGTTACTTCTCCTTCTATATAGGTATAAAAAAGTTAACTTCTGAAATACTGGTCAAAAGTTGGTAGTGACCAGTTATTTGCTTGATTATATAAATTTCTATTTCATTAGCTTATTATACATGTATGTTGATATTTAAAAAATATAAAGTCGACACCTTTATAAGACATAAGAGATGAACATAACAAATATTTTATAACAGATAAATGAAAATACATATGTAACTAATAAAAGCCAAAATAATAATTATTTTAAGAGAAATTAAATGGCTATCATAAAAAAAAACACTCAGTAAAATAGTTTTCTATTGAAATTAAGAAATCCTAAAGAACAATTTTCAACCAAAAAATAACTTTTTCAATATTAATTAAATATTTTTATTAAATTATTATATTTAATAATAATTAAATATACACAGTAATTAATTCTATAGGAATCAAAAATTGAAAGTTTTCTCATTTTAATAAAGTGCAGTCAAACGTATTAAGTTAAATGTTAATATAAATAAAATTTTATTACCTTTGTGTAGAAATATTTAAGTCTTGATGATTCTCATAACGTTCAGTTATTTTTGTACCAATTATTTTACAAATATACTATATTAAACAAATAATTAACAATTGATACAATAAATATGTGATAATATAATAGCATTTACCTTATTTCGATGCCATACACTACAATCATTCATCATACTAATAGCCAAATGTATGGCTAGATAACAACACATAAATAAATAAATTGCACCATAGAGGTATATAGCTATTATTAACAAAATATTGGAAGATAGATTTTTCATTGTCCAGGTAATCACAAAATATATATTTATGAATATAATTGTTACACAGAGTAAAAGAGTAAGTGCTTTATTTATCCTGAAAAAATAATAGATAATTATTTTTAAAAATTGGTAGCACAGTGTGGACGAGGCATAGATGTGACAATTATAGATGATATCTGACAGTGATTAAAGTCACTATCATAAGAAACGCTTCGATGCAAATCTGTAGATAATGTTTCATTTAGAAAAATTGGTAGATTATTCCAAAATCAACATCAACTCTTATTTCTTTGATTATATCCTGAATAGTAGTTCTTTGATTTTAAAATATAATATATGAATAAATACTAATTATAGTTTTTAAATTTAGCATGAAATTGATATTTAATAATTTAATATTGTAATTTAAACGGAAAAATTATAAAAATAATAAAGAAGTTATATTTTGCTTTACTTTTACGTGTATAAAAATTTAAAGGGCTTGATACAATAATTTTCAATAAAAACTGTTACTATAAATAAATGCACTGGACTACAAGGAACTTTCATCAGAAGCAAAAATATTCTTTTCTAAATCAACTTTTCTCGTTGTTTTCAAATCTGCAATTAGACTTTTTCTATCACTTCTAATTTTTTATATTATTACTAATTACATAAAAAATAATATTTAAAAGAAAAAAATTTTTTTTTCAAATTATTACTGATTTGATTTTATTTATTTCTTTATTTCATCCTTTAAAGTGAAAGTTTATAATAAAAAAAAAAAATTTTCATTTTTAACCTATTTTTTTGGTTCTTTAAAGTTGAAAAAAATTTTTTTGACAAGTTTTGTGAAAGTTTATAGTGAAAAAAATCGTATATGTTACCATTACTTTTAGCTCAATTACAAGTTTGAAATTGACAATATTAAATAGAAAATTTTATGAGAATTAAAACAATGCTAGTTTTAAGATTGATATGCAGTCAGGAAATTTTATAATTACTATTTACAGTATATTTGTCATAAAAACTCATTATTTATTTGTATTTTTATCGTGATAGAACACTTAAATAGAAATCATAGTAATCATATCCTAGTAACTTTTGTTGTTTGAAAAGATTCTACAATTGAAATATTGAGAACTTAATTAATTTTAATGATTTACTTTAACTAAATGAACCAATCAAAACAAAGTTGTTAAAAAGATTTACTCAATTGAGCGTATTATAAAATTTTATGAATAAAAAATTTCTTCTCGCGAGTGGCGACTACAGTGATGAGATCCTTGATCTCAACTTTTGTACAAAACTTTTTTTTGTAAGTTAAATATTTTTTGAGAAAATTAAAAAAGCTCATATTTTTTAACTTTTACGAGGCTGTAAAAAAAAAAAGCTCAATTCCAATCAATGAGGACTATTAGTATATCATTATACATATCTTAATTCAACTTTTAAAAAAATAAAATTTAGTTGGGAATTTTTTCCACAATTTTTCCTTCGTTGACTGGTCTAGATGTCAATTTTAAACTTGTAATTGAGCTAAAAGTTATAGTAATATATTCAATTTTTTTTACTATAAACTTTCATAAATCTTTATCAAAAATTTTTCATCAACTTTAAAGAACCAAAAAAATAAAAAAAGGAAAATTTGGACTGATTATTTTTAACATATTAAAAAACAAATCAGTAATAATTTGTAAACAAATTTTTTTTTTTTTTTATTATTTTATATGTAATTAGTAATAGTATTAAAAATTAGAAGTTATAGAAAAAGTCTAATTGCAGATTTGAAAACAACGAGAAAAGTTGATTTAGAAAAGAATATTTTTGCTTCTGATGAAAGTTCCTTGCAGTCCAGTTCATTTATTTATAGTAACAAACAGTAAATGTTTATAATAAAAAAAAATAATTTATTTTACCATAACTTTTAGCTCAATTGGCACTATTAAATAGAAAATTTTATGAGAATTAAAAAAATTGTATCGTTAAAATTGGTATGCAGTCAGAAAGTTTTATAATAACTATTTATTGTAAATTTATCAGAAAAGCTCAAATTTTTTTAAAATATAAAGTGTAATAGATAACTTAAATTAAAGTAATAGTAATAATTTTCTAGTAAATTTTGGTGTTTGAAAAGTTCTACAATTGAAATATTCAGAACTTAATTAATTTTAATAATTTACTTTAACTAAATGAACCAATCAAAAGAAAGTTGTTAAAAAGATTTACTCAATTGAGCGTATTATATAATTTTATTATAATTGTAAAAATCCATTATTAATTCAGGAGAAACTAACAATCATTTTTTTTAGAAATGTGATTTATACTTGAATAAAAACCATAGTAATCATTAATTCTAATTAACTTTTGGTGGTAAAAAAGATTCTACAATGTAAATATTCAGAATTTAATTAATTTTAATGATTATATATCAAAGCGCCCGACGCTTTTATCACAATAATACTAGTATTTTTTGTTCATAATTATTTTAAAAATTATTTTTAACTTTTTATTTCGATGTGCTTTAAAAGCGTGTTTTTTTAGTTTTTTAAACTATATTTATTTTTAGAAATGATTTATACTTGAATAAAAACCATAATAATCATTAATTCTAATTAACTTTTGCTGGTAAAAAAGATTCTACAATGGAAATATTCAGAATTTAATTAATTTTAATCAATCAAAACAAAGTTGTTAAAAAGATTTACTCAATTGAGCGTATTATAAAATTTTAATATATTTGTAAAAAACAATTGTTAATTCAGGAGAAAAAACCATCATTTTTTTAGAATGATTTATATTGCAACATGTTACCCAAAAATTTGTAATATTATAGTCTAGTAGTAGCGCACACGAATATAGTAAAAAAATTATTAAATTACAAAGTAAAATGATTTAATTTTGTAGTTGAAACCTATCATATCAAACTTGATTCGTCAATAAATATTTTGAAAACATTAGAAATTAATGATTTTAATTGTCTTTATGGAGACGATGTAATAACTAACTGTTTAATTGNTGAATGATTTTAATCGTCTGTATGGAGAACATGGGATAAGTAACTGTTTAATTGATAAATTAGAATATTTTTTCAATTATTGAGGATAATATCTTCAACTAGATACGAATTGTAGTCATTTGACGTATCGTTGAAAAAAGTAGGTCAAGTTAGAGAAGAGAAAATAAATGATAGTCACAAAAAAATATCTGCTCAGCTTTGCATCGAAGCTAAAACTTAAAATATAGTAAAATAATTTTAATATGAATAAAAAATTTCTTCTCGCGAGTGGCGACTACAGTGATGAGATCCTTCATCTTTATTGAAGTTATTGATTCTAAATGAGATAAAAATCAAACGAGTTAAAAATTTATACTAACTTAAAAAGAATTAAGAAAAAATGCAAAAAATTCATTGCCATACGCAGGTTGGAACCTCGTACCCTAAGCGTGTAAAACATAAGTTTTACCAACTCGGCAACCGTACATTAGTGCCATCGGTTGAAAAAATTGGCTATTTAAGCTAGTTCAAATTTCAAAGTTATTTTTTTTGACTTAAAAGAAGCAAACAAATTTAAAGAAGTTTAACTCTCTATGCTATGAGAGCTGAGATTGAGTGTTCACAGACACAAAAAAAAAAATTAAAAAAAAAAAAAAAAAAAAAAAAATTATGANAAAAAAAAAAAAAAAAACACATCATAGTAAAATTAATACCTTCTTCTTCTTCTTAATTTTAGCTTCGCATCGAAGCTAAAATTGTATTATATTTTATATGAAAATTGACTTACAGTCCATTAGTAAATTCTCCCATTATACGGGGATTACTTGTAAATGCAATAACTGGTAATAAAGCAAATGGTAACTGTAAACTCATGACAGCATTAAGAAGATCATTCATGAAACTCAAATCTTCAATTTTGCAAAAAAATGCAACATAAAATGTAGGAGCAATTGCAACTATACGTGTAAATGCAACTCTCTTCCATCGACTCCATTGTAGACTTAAAAATCCCTATAATTTAAAAATGACAAATTTTTACATGTAATACACTTAATTAGTATAATTAAAACTCACTTCCATAACAAATTGACCAGCATAACAACCAGTCATTGTACTACTTTGACCAGCAGCTAAAATGCCTACTGCCCATATATACATAGCACCCAAACCAAATTGACAGCCTAGAAATATTCCTCCTTTGTAGATGTCTATTTCTACTTCCTCAGTATCATTCTAAATAAATATAAATAAGAAATCAATAATTAAAGTCAAACTGGATGTATGTATCAAATATTTATTAAAATTAATTGATAATGATAAAATTGTTGAGGAAATATAATATTGAACAAAATTTTATATGAAAATATATATAAGTTAAGTGATAAAGTAGATTGAATAGTTCTGGTATTAAAAGCATTGAATTTTGTATGTCTAATTTTTTTTTGTCGTGGGATGAAGTGCAATTACATATTAGAACCAGGGGCAGACACAAGAGTATTGGGCCCACTGTTTAAAAGAAAAAATGGTATAAATAATAATAATACACGCTATGTTTACCACTCGACCTGGAAATAACATTTTTTTGATCATTAATTCATATACTCCAGACAAATTAAATAATTCGGATTAATTAAGAGATCTCAATTTTATAAACCTCTATTTTTTTTAATTACAATATGTAATCCTCCTGGCCAATTAACATAATTTATTCTAATTGAAAAAAAAAAAATGTTAACAATCGTGACCTGTAGCATCTATGCACTTTTTGATTGTAAGCATAAAGATCACCAACCCACTGTACTATAGCATAGAGCCAGTTTGTCTCTGTTTAGAACCCTACTTTCAGGGTTAGTCTAACTTTATATTAGTTTATAATTTTAAATATACAGACATACTCTTGAAAAAACATCAGCAAAAGGATTGTTGCTATTTTCACAAATACCATACTGAAAAAAAATTTTTATAATTACTATTTTATGAATTTATAATGAAAAATATATATTGTAAATTTATATCATATCTTTTTTATCTCAAAAAAATGTTTTTGTAAAAAAAAGATAATAATAATAAACATTTCTAAAACAATTTGATGTTTTTGTTGGTTACATCAGATTTGATTTAAATATGTAATACATAAAACTTACCACATCACTATTAGTTTTGGCATTTAAACCATGAGCAAAAACAGATGTCACACAAACATTAATAATAAATGATACAAACAAAGCAACACAAGATTCAATAAAAAAATAAAAATTAGCTTCTTTTAATTTTTCTTTTTTAGTTCTATCAACATCTCTTGACTGAAATCATAACATGAAACTTGATTATTAGAAATAACATTAATAAGTTATAAATGCATCAATATTAAAAAATATGTTTAATATTTACTTTGACTAGTCCAGAGTGTAAATAAAGATTATGTGGCATAATAATAGCACCAATAATTCCTACAGCTTGAAGAAGAGATTGTTCATTACAGTCTTCACACCATGGTGTTATTAAACCTTTTGCCATTTCTTTTAACTCTGGTTTAGCAACTGTAAACTAAATCAAATAGTTTTTAACTAGAGAACAAAGTATTTTCTCAGAAATAGTTGTCTTACTTCATAACCGAACGACAATGCCATTATAGTAATAAATAGACCAAATATTAATTCTAGTTTTCGTAATCCATATTTGTCCAACATTAAAAAAGATAAAGTATCAAAAACAGTAATCAATACTCCAATCCAAAGAGGTACCCTATACAAATAATTAATAACTAATTATGATTAATATAAACTTGTTCATACTGTTAATGAACCTTTGTATAAAATTTAATTTATTAATAAACAAATAAAATGTTTTGTAAAATTTATTGATTAAGTTAAAATTATTTAATTTAAATTACACTCATCCTGTCTCCACAAATGATGCTAATGTTTTAAATGCTCAAATATTTAGTAATCTTTAAAATTATTTTTAAATATTCAGCTTTAATACTAGAAATTAAATTAGGAAAGCTAAAAAAATAAATTTTTCAGATAGGACCCATTTTTTACCAGTGCTAAATACAGTTCTACAAGTTGAATTTGATGTAATATTAAATAAATAAGTAGATTACCTTATCAAAATCTTCTTTTTTTTCGCCTTTATCCTAACTACTTGGGGTTGGCCATCGTTTCCTAAACTTCAACTTGACACAATCACCCACGTCACCTACACACATATTAGCTGTTCTCTTGTCGCATTCAATAACATCCCACCATCTATTTTTTGGTCTTTTTTACCTCTTCTTACTTTGACATTCATTTTCATAACTGTTCTTACAGCTTCCAATTTCTTTCTCGTCCTATCTATTATTCCTCATTTTATCCACAATTAAAGCTATACCAATACTCCCTCTTATATGTTCGTTCCTTGTCCTATCTTCTTTAGTCACTCCTCACTCATCCATCTAAGCAGCACTATCTTCCTTACTACACTCATTCTCTACTCAATTATCTTGTCAACCGCCCAAGACTCAGAACCATAAATCATAGCAGGTTTTTTTTTTTTGATTACCTTATCAAATATTTATAAATTATTTTTGTAGAAATATAGTTCTATTGTTAAAATAAATTATATTTCAACCAGAAAAATACATTATAATACTAAGTTTAATTTTTAAGATATATGATGAAACTTACATTTTATTACTTAGTAAATATATTGCAATTGCTGTACCAATTACTTCTTGCATATCAGAACCAATAATTGCTATTTCCATCATGAGCCATACAAACAATCTCGGTAAGCGTCTGTATTGACGGTAACACATGTCAGCTAAATGATAACCAGTTACAACTCCCAGACGAGCAGCCAATCTTTGCATAAGAAGACCTAATATTGTTGCACTCATAAGAACCCATAATAGCTTAAAAATAAAATATATATATATATATATTATATATTTAAATATAGTATAAATAAACATTTAAATTTTTTGGTGACTACCTTATATTTAGCAGTTTTTCCTGACTGTAAATCTGATTCTATATTTCCTGGATCCAGATAAGCTATGCTCATTAAGAACCCTGGACCCGTAAATGCCCATAATTTACGAAAACTAAAGCCAGTCTAGAATTTAGGTATTTATTTGAAATCTACTTTAAAATGCAAAATTTAAGAAGTTAAATTTACCGTGTGTGTTTCAGGAATATGAATCTTTTCTACATATTCTGACTTTTGAGATAAACTGGTAGTCTCAGTAGGTTTACTTTCTAATCCTTCACTTGTTGGCTAAATAAAAATTTACAAACAAAATTAATTCGTTTGATCAACTATTGAAACCACAATTTAAAACATAAATAAAGGGATTTATGGCGCTCACCACTAAACAATAACCAGCCATAACAATTTAAAATATATTTCTTGTATTATCTGAATAAAAATAGGTTAAAATTAAAGTAAATGAATTTTGACACTAATAAAGAATGAACTTTTATGCAAAATATTATTTATAATGATGGCCCTGACCAGGGTAAATGAAACGATTGAATAACAAGTATTATTTTTTCGTTTACTTAGATTTGACAAAATCACGTACTACTACTAATACTGTGATGATAACACACACACACACATCGTAAAATAAGACACAATAATATGTGGTAATGGTGCCAACGGTGGCCTTATGGGCAATCAATGAATATTAATGAATCTTTTAGATAAGATAACTTCAATAATTAATGTTTTTTAACTTATACTTACTATCATGTATATTAATAATAGTACTAGTTATATATAATGGTAAATGTTTGATAAGTAGGATTAAATTACAGTACATAAAAAATCTATGACGCGTATTCGACACCCCCACGCTTGACAAAAAATTAAAGTAATGTACAATAAAAATTAATACAGTTAAAATCACTATTTGCAAAATAATATCAGTATATAGTACTTATTTGATAATATGCACTTAGTTTATGCGCGCGCACTTTAGTTAAGACTACCACGTGTATTAAGTAAGTCATTGCGGGCCACGTGTCACTCTAAAAAGTCAAAAATCGTTAGGACTTGTAAATTATTGTTATAAATTACTAGATTGATCTTATTGAAGGTTTGACATGAATAAGTTAAAAATTTATATACATTTAAATGTTTTGCGAGGAGGTAACTTAGTTTTTCTATCAATATAATTTTAATTTATTTTAGTTCAATAAAATAAATTTTTTTTTTAATTTCGTGAAGTTATCTAAAAATTATTAAATAATACTGCAAACATTCCGTTATTTAAAAAAAAATATTTTCTCAATTTAATTGTTGAAAAATTGTCAAAATGGGCAATCCATTGAATTATAACTAGCATTATAATTGCTAGTTATCTAAATTTTGTAAAACATATAAGACTTTCAATTTATCATATTGGTTAACTTTTTTTGGCTATTTATTAATCATTTATTCATGTTCAAGTACTTCTACTGAAAGGTTTCTTTACTCTGTTATATGAAAACATGTATGTAAAATTGATTGTACAAAATACTAGTAAAGGAAAAAAAATATATAACTAGAAATTTTTTTATTCTGTTTCACCCTTACTATAAATGCACTTAAATTAGCAACAAAATAGTCATCGAATATTAAAAAAAATTGAATTATAGGAGGTCTAAATTTTCAATTTTTCAAAAGTATAATCCCTTACCATTAAAAAAACCGGTTTACCTTTATTATTTATAGTTGAAGATTATAATTATACATTTTTTATCGATCAGGAGCATAATGAATTAATCTTTTTTACAGAGCAACCAAGTACATTTGATTGAATGACAATATTTTAAACATTACATTGGATGACTGGGGTAGTTTTAGGATAGAACTATTTTAAAAATTTTTGTAGATCAGGGTAAAAAAAATGTAATGCAATCATCATTTTTTTCACAAAAGTAAGATTCTATTTTAACACAAAAATACGATATCGCTTTAAAAGACGTAAGCCTTATAGCCTCTTTAAGGACGACTTTACTTTAAGAAGGGCAACCTCCTTGTTTTTTAGATCCACAATTGTTTTAGATTTTCTATTTTTGAAAATTTCAATAGTAATTTCAAACTGATTGTGGTCTAAAAATGAAAAACTAAAAGTTTGGTTCAGGTTTAGTTTGACCTGGAAAATCAGGTTTTGTAAAATAACTAATTTATATTATCTACACTAAATTTATCACCCTAGTAAAATCAATAATTTTTTTTGTTTAAAATCCTTAAGCACTTCAAGCAACAAGACAATCCATGAAAGCTTTAACACATTCACTATAATTTTTTATCAATATACGTTCAAAAATGATTTTGTTAAATAAACAGTAATTTTTTTATAATTAAATCTCTCTTGTTGATTTAACAAAATATTTGTAATATATTTGGAAATATTTTTATTTTTTTCTATAACAAATAACAGATTAACTAAAAATTATTATTTCATTTAACAAAAAGTTTGTTGGACGTATATTGGAAATTACATTTTTTGATTTTACCAGAGGATGTGTTTAGCGTTGATAATGGTAATATTGTTTTCGAAATACGTATCCGTGATTTTTTAAAATTTTGCTGAATTAAATATTTTTTTTTTTATTTTAAAATAATATTTTTAATATAATTTTAATTTTAAATTTTTAGTTTTTTTTTAATAAAATAGTTAATGACAGTGCTTCCATTGTTGCACTAGAATAATAACAAAATATTTATGTGCATTTTGCATCTTGAAATGGTATACAATTTTATAACCAATATTATTTAACCGTAAAAATAAAGTACTTCATAGTTAAAACATAAGAATGACATTAAATTTTCAAAAACATGATACAGTGTGACAATTAATTTGTTTATTTTAGTAGAGTTTTATACTATGATCTAGTTACACAAAAAAAAAAAAAAAAAAAAAACATGAGAAAATCATTTATATGAATTGCTGTATCATAAATAATATTTTAATTAACTAATAAAATAATTTGAGAATTTCTATTACCTTTATAATTTAGAAGAAAAGGACAAAAACAAAAGTGTTAGATGAATACTTATTTGTACTTTCATTTAACAATGAAATTACAAATCAAAATAAAATACGACTGTTGTTCTAATATGAGTGTATGTTTTACAATTTTTTATCACAGCATGAACTCTTTGGAATATTATAAGAAATGCACTTATGAATAAACACATAACCGCTAAGTATTAAAAACATGTATATGTGTATATATACGTTTTTAAGAAAAAAAAATCGTAATTGAAGAACAGAGTGCAAGCATAAGTCCACTTTTAAATACTTTCAAGAGAATCAATTAACTGAAAAAATGTTCATTAATGGCAATGTTAAAACAGTTTTTTTATATGAAATTATATATGTAAACAATCTGAAAAATAAAACCTTTTTAAATACCCAATCATAAATTAACAAAATGCATATAGTGGCAATAGTACTGAACAAATACTGGCGTATGTCTGTGGTGTTAACGCTTTTCTGTACTGATCGTTCAGTACTGGCGAGTTTATATAATCAGTACTACGCCAGTACGCTGCCAGTACTGACCTCCAATATTGAATTAGTACTTAGACAAGACAGTACTACATTTATACGGGTTAGCCAATGGTGAGTTGCCAGTACTGGTGCAAACTTCGCCTGTTATCAATACTGATACTTAACGAAAAATTTCCGATTGGGTACGCATAAAAATGTATGCGTACTAAGCATTTATATATTTTTTCATATTCAGAGTGGAACAGATGTAACTGACAACTTTCATAACTTTTGATACAATTAACATATGTTAATTACAGCACAATGTTGCGCTGTAATTATTTCTTAAACAATTTATACATTCATTGACTATGTTAGATTCATATATTTTTTTAAATAATTAGAGTGAAATGTTAATTGTATCAAAAGTTGTGTGAGTGGTCAGTTAGATGTGTTCTATCCAGTCAGTATGTTTTTAGCGTGGATAATGATAACATTGTTCCCGTATTTTTTTGTGTTTTTGAGTAAAATATTTTTTAGTTTTGAACTAATATTCTTAAAATGATTTTAATTTGAAGTAATGTTTAATAAGCTCATTAATAATGTACCAGTAAGATCTCGATATGAGAATTATATTTTCCTACTGATTTCTTACTGGTATCAGAAATACTAAGGCTGGCTTCAATATACATTATTTAATTTGCGCCTTAAATGCTGAGTATTATCTGTCAAGATAATTTAATAGAATTAAGAATTTTTAGAAATTTAGCATTTAGTTTTTCTTAAGATATATTGTCCTAAACACCTTCTGTTTTGTTAAACATTTTTAAAATAATGGTCATGGAAAGTATAACCGTTATATTCTCGGTTTGGCCCTCCACCTAAGATTAACAGTGACTGTGTAGCTTAATACCTAAGTAATACGGGCTACTGGATTACTATGGTACATTACTCCTCAAAATTTATATTTTAAATAGTTGTTGATATTTATATTGTTTCAAGTTCAGTTCATAGAAATAACTAATTGTCAATAGTACTAATATTAGCGAACGATTCTGAACACAATTTTTTGTAAATAATGGTCCATTAAAATTAATTATATATATTTGTATTAACAAAGTGAGCTTGTGACCTAATTGCTAATTAAATCTACCTTAATTTACTAATATTCTTATGTTTTCAAGATCATTATATTTTTCAGTAAGATGTAATACCAATAATATTATTACTATAATACTTATTAATGGATAATTTAGGTAATTAGCGTTAGTTAAGTTCAAAGTTCAAGTTCATCAAAATGTATTATTATATAAGTATCATAATATTAGAAAAGAAATTTACTTATTTTTCTAGTGTTGATTAAGTATTAAAATTTTGTAAATCTTTTAATCGGTTTTTGTAGTCAATTTTTTCAATAAAAAAAAAAAATTAGACAAATAAATAAATTGAAATAAATAAGTATTACAAATTCATTTAAAGTTGTATTTAATTTACTATTCACTTTTTCTGTTCATTTTTATAATAGTTTCAAAATTCTAACGTATTTGATTATATTTAATCAATTAAATATTTAATTGATTTATTTTTATTCTTTTTTTAAATTAAAATAATTAACGTTAATAATGTTACAAGTATGATTAGGTTTTTATAATTCAATAATTAATAGAAATATGCGTGTTGGCAATTTTTGATTAAAAGTAACCTTTGCTATAAATATACAGAACAAAACATGATATTTTTACTTATGTAACAAAATTAATATTATTTCTAACATAGATTAAAAATAGTTAATATCTTAACCTTATAATAATATCATGACATAGAAAAATTAAATGAGAATTTATAGTTTGAAAATCCCAAATTAGATAGCCAAGTAAAGTTCTTTTTTGCGGTTAATAATTATACAAATTCGGAGCAGGTTGTAATTTTAAAATTCAAGCTAAAAGAAAAAGTTTTTAATGTACTTGAAAAAAAAAGTTTTGGGCAGAATTTGATAGTCAATCAGAATATTTAATCAAATTAATTTTTTCATCAATGTTTCTATTGTTAACAAGAGTAAAGTTAATTTGAATAAAAAATACCTAAACAATGTAACTCATACTTGAATGATTTTTTTCTGGCAAATTTATTTACTAATAATTACAACGTTTAAGTTTTAAATGTCTTATATATGTGATAAATTGTTCAAATTTTCGCCGTATATGTCTGATTCTGAAGCTGGCGGACCAGGCATCTATAATTTGCCGTCATATATTTAAGTACAAATTATTGAGGCACTTACTTTTTGTGTATCCATGTCGCGAATATGATCAGTCTTATTATATTAAATAAGTAACGTAGTTTTAATGTTAAAAACATATGTACGCTTAGTTTTCATCGCACATGACACACGACCGATTGAAGCCTACCAAATCAAAACGCGAACCATAATTATTAGAATAACGAACGTAGTAGACAATATACAAGGACGGTATGATATGATAGTATAGTAGTGAGTCAATGCAGCGTTAATGATATAATTGTAAAGGAGTGAGGTACGTATATACGCACTCGTGCGAGCCGCATACATAATGTTCTATGTATTGTTCTAGTAATTATTGATACGAACTGGCGGGCACGATAACAACGCAGGTAACGCGATGTTTGACGTGATGCGTTTAAAAAGTATATAATCATAAATAATAAACAAATTTTTGATATTATCACAGGTGTTAAGAAAATACTACTGTTGTTCAATTAGTTCCGTGTAATTGAAGGTACCGGTGCACACAAGCGGAAATAGATAAAAAAAATTGGGCAGCAAATGATATATTTTTATATTATTCACTCATTCCAAAACATGTTTTTATAGTACAATAATTATAATTTTGTAAATTTTTGAGAAGGCTAAGCTCTTCTGGTGCAATAACAATAAAATATTTAAAATGCAGTGTTTGCAATCATAAGGTATCAATTTAAAAGCGAGTATTTTGTATAAGAACGGAGCCACTGTCTCAAATTTGATTTAGGGGTCTCAAATACAATATAGTACAACAATAATTATATCATTGTATTTGAGAAGACCCAATTTTCTATTATAATTATTACAATTGAATATTGGAGCTTCCCAAGAAAAAAAAATTTCCTCACTACACACAGACATGTTGCAATTTAGAACGATCAAAATAATTAAAATATATCATTCTGACGAAACTGAAAACACAATGCTCAAATTGAAGTATTTAAATGCTTATTTATTCATACTTAATAATTGTTTAATATCTTAATAACAAAATATTAGACTTATATTCCATTTATTTTTAAATAAAAACATAAAATTCTCAGCGGGGACATAGTACCTGCTGATTCTATGTATTTAAAAAATACATCATGTAGAATAATTCCTTCTACAACCAAATTATAGGTTTATAATGCAATATATTAAACGGACCTGATAAGCCAAAAATAAAAAATGGTCAATAATGACAATAATTCAATAATCGCTTCCACTTCAGGAGGGGTATAAAATCGCTGGTTGCGCCACTGGTCTGAAGTACAAAATCTATACGGTGGATGTCGTTATAGAAATCGTTTTTAAAAAGTGATGATTTCGAAGATCACATTGTATTATATCTCATTTGTAAAATCTTTGATTTTTTCATAAATTTCTTTTGATTAATATCAGTGCCTAAAATTTTATATTTAGTTTTATGAAGCCATCTTAATAATGAGTTTAATGATGTTTGTTTTATTCATGTGAAAAGTCAAAGTCATTAATTTTAAATATATTTACACCTATATTTTAATTTTCAAGTTCTTTTGTAAATTTGTAAATTTATACGTTTAAATTATTGTTAGGTTATAAATAATAGTTTATTTAGTTGGTTGTCATTTAATAATATTGTCTTACCTATTATTATGAACATCATTTTAATGGCTTTTTTATCATTGACATTTTGCCTAACTTTTATACAAACAGGTGCTTCTTAAGTAAATTTTCAAGTTATATTAGTGATTTCTACGAGTTCGTATATTTTCTATAAGCTGTTGAACAACTGATAAAGTTATTATTTTTTCGTAAATCACTTAAAGTAAAAAAAAATGAAAGATTAGCTAATTAACTATTGTACATAAAATAATGATATTTATGTATATAATTTATAACCATAAAAAACATTTCGTATACACAGTATGTTACGTATACTGTACAATGTACAGTGTACATATCTGTTTATACTATACAGAGTAATCCATAATGTTCTGACAAATTCACATACTTTTTTTATGGAAAATTGTTAGAACATTGTAGGACAATTGTATTTTGTTGAGAAAAAATGTTCTTTAATAAAAAAGATGATTAATTTATCATTGACATCTAGATTATTTCTAAGGCAATAATGAGAATTTTAAGAATTTTTTCTTGGCTAGTATTTATTTTTTGATTTTTAAGTAGTAAAATATTTTTAAGGATCATCCGATATAAAGGGATTATTATTTACAGTACATTTATTCTTCAAATAATACTATACATATTTAAGTAGATTATAATCTCCTAATCAGGACAAGAAAACGTAATTTATAATGTTATAATTATAACGTTTAAAACGAAAAATGTTGTCTTGTCACTTCTTCTTCTTCTTCTGCAGTATTCAATCTAATAATTGGTTTGGAGCAACTTCCATGTTATTCTATCACTAGCCTTTCTCTTTAACTCTTGATATGAACTACATCCTTGATCTTCTATTATTTAACTTATGTATTGCAATCTTGGTCTTCCTCTATGATTTTTCAATCGATTATTCATTCTAAGATTAATAATCGCAACCCATTGTGACTTAAAGTATGACCATTAATTCATTTCGCCTTCTCTGTATACTCTTTCATGTTAATTTCCTCTAAGAAACCCTTTCTAAAACTTCTTCAATAGTAATTCTATCAGTTCAACTTATCTTTTCCATTCTCCTATAGCATCACATTTCAAATGCCTCTTTTTTTCTCATTTCTTCTCTTGCAATAGTCCATGTTTCACATCCATATAAAATGATGCTCCAGATGCACGTTTTAAGTAGATTTTTTCTAATATTAAGGACAATGTTTTTTGAAGTAAAAAGGCTTATTTACTTATTAAAATGCCTTATCCCTATTAAACCTTTTTAAAGGTAAAGACCTTTTTATATTACTCATCATTAAAAAAATTTGGATGCTCCTATTAAAAATTTATACATACGCTGAAAATACGTAATGATAAAAATAACATTACCTGCACCCACCTTCAATCTATGTTTTAAAATGTTAATAACTTCTGAAGTACTGGTTTAAAAGTTGTTATCAGCCAATTATTCTCTAAATTGGATTATTTTCTGACATTTAAGCTAGTAAAATATGTATGTTGCCTTTAAAAAAATAATAAGGCAGAAATTTAAAAAATATTTAACTTTTTATTAATTAAGAATTAAATGTTATATAACAAAATCAACATAAAATTTTCAAAATTATCATTATTTTAGTAGAAATTTAATGATCAACAATAAATTAATTAAACATAAAAAAATTAATTATTGACCGAAGGTAAAGTATTTTTAAATAGCTTTTTTACAATTATAAAAATATTAGCTTCGACACAAATTAAAATAATACTACGGGTTAAAAAAAAAGGATTGTAAATTTAATCACATTAATATTGCGTCAAGGCTTTTAATTTTTCATTGCTATAAAATTTTCATGACAGAGTTCAATGAATCAAAAACGTTGTAATACTTTTCAAATTACGTTCATGATCAATTATAACAAAACCATTAAAAATAAAACTGAAATACATCATATTGTATTGCAGTTGATGGTTTTTCGGATAGATGTCGGACAAGGCAGCTATTCTAAAATTTATTTCAACCCTCCGTGTCTAGGGTAAGATAACTTGGTAGCGTTTTCCATTGCGGAAACAGTAGTATTCCGACCGCGTTGAACACGCAGACGTTTCTTATACGACTGTATTCGTCGCAGCTGTTATTGTTTGATTTGCATGGTTCGCATTAACGATATTTTGAATTTAAATCAATTATAACAAGAATGTTTCTATTTTGAGCTAACAGGATAAACGCTTTTAGTGAGTACAGTATTTTACTATTTTTTTTTTTTAATAAAGCAGTAGAATAATTAATATTGAAATTTTATTTATACTTTTTATATTTATGACATTTTTGTCTTTTGTTAGTTAAATACTTGAATTGTTTAAGTATTAAACAGAATTTGATTATTAAACATGTTTTACTTATTCAAATTTATAAATTTATTAATAAATTTATCAGTTAAACAAAAAAAAAAATTATAATTGGTTACTTGTGGTTACTTTATTTTCAAAAAACTGTATTTTTATAGTTTTACTTTAAGTGACATCAAATACATTTAAATAATGTTACGTTTAAGTTAAACAATTCTTTATACATATAAGATGTTGTGATGACAAAATAATTATAATTTAATAACTATCCAAGTATAAATTTAGGTGTATTTAAAATATTTATCCTTTTAACACCAGTGGTGTTGAACACACGTTAAATATAACTTAACCACGATAAAAGTTTGTTTATGAGATCAACACTTCTAACTTAGAATAGAAATTTTTTTGAAACACAATTATGTACAAATTAAAATTGATTGTACAACTAAAGTACGTGGGTTTTAAGAAATAGAAACAGTTTTCAATAAGGTATTGATTTTATGTTTCAAAAATGCGTGGGCAGAGCTATGCAACTTTTTTTAATTAATGGAAATTATATGAATAATACACATAACCATATAAAAGTATAACATTAATTATGCAATGTGGTGAAGTAAACATATCACAAGAGTAGGTAGTTGGAAAACGTGTCAAAAGCTAAAATGAGAGTAAACATTTTTAAAACGAACACGGTCCTCCCATTTTCTGGGTTTCTTTACTATAATAATGCAGTCATTCTAATGCATATGACTTGATATGAGTAGACCACTTGCCTTTGAAATCTCAAAAGTTAAAAACATGATTATTTCTTAATACACGGAAAAAAATATTTAGTTTTATATAGTTGATTATGCCTGTATATTTGATTTATTTTTTAGTTACTTTTGGTACAATACAAGATTTTGAATTGAAAAATATATTATATGCGCCCCTCCCTTCATTCTAATTTTCTTCTGGGTTTTCACTTTTTATACGTAAAATACACGTACATTTACTGTAAGCGCTCAAATTCGCGACTAGGTGCCATGGATTGTATTATTAAAAATAGGCGTGGTAAAAAAAAAACTTGGGTTTTGAATAACTATTGAACTCTGAGGCTTATTTTCTATTTTTATTCGAAACTATAGATTATATTATTATTTAACAAATATTCTATAATTAAGGTAACGACTATAAGAAGCAATATATTGGTTTTGAAAATATTGAACTTCTTTACGATACATTTCAAGAGATATAACGGTAATTTTGGATAATTTGAGTCTTTACTTAAGGTGCGTAGACGATGTTTAATTTTTTTTTAATTTTTCAAGTAATATTTTTTGAACGTAGAGGAGTTTTGCGTTGATTTTTAGTTAGTAAGAATAAAAGAAGCATAAATTAATTAACATCTATTTGTAAATGTGTTTATAAATTAAAGAATCATGAGTTTTTGTATTTGTGTAAACTATTTATATTATTCTTGAAATAAATTGAGTTTATTAATTTGTCGAAAGTAAAATATTAAAGAATTTAATGTATACTAGTAGTTAGTTTAGTCGGTGCATTAATAAATTAATAATTAAGTCTAATGTTGGCAAACAAAATGTAGCCATATTATTGCTATGAATAGAATTATTAGTTTTTATTTGCTAGGATAAATTAAACAACAGACACCGTTAAAATCTATACTTGTAGAAGGTTTAAATATTATTTCCAACTAGGTAATGTGTGAGGGTTTTACCCAAACGCCTTCGTACGTCTCCCTTATTATTTATAGATATAAAAACAGTATCAGTTTAATTGATTTATACGTTAAAATTCATACGTATTATTAGATTAAATTCTATCATAAAATATAAAACGAGAGCCGACGCTAGAGATTTTATGAGGTTTGCCTTCGTACCAGGACTCGCAAATTAAGTTGATGAAAAACAAAAGTTCTTTTCTACCATTTAGAATCTAGAAAAATTGTGCACTCTATTATAGGTTTATAAAGCAATTATGTGTATCTCATTGCCAGTAATGTAAAAATATTATGTGAAGTATAAGTTTATAAAGCATGTGTTAACTACTTGTTTGGGGCGTAGACTCAACGGGTTATTTTGTCAATATTAAAAAAAAAAAATCATGTAGCACAACATTATAGATATAAAATGGATCCTAACCTATAATTACTATATTTATTGTCACACGTAGTCATATAAAAACTGTACGACTATGCATATTTATTGTCACGCACATAGTATGTTCACGAGGAACGATTTTATGCTTAACTAGAGAGTATGGTAATTAACAAGTAAAAAATAGTTCTGTAAGTTTATTGTCGAATTTAGTGATCTGCACCGCGTTAATAAACTAATATATTTTTAATGTTAATTAAATTTTTATGCTTGTACTATTTATTTGTTAAACTTCATACTAGTATTGTAACAGTTAATGTTTATAATCGACTAAAATACGTGCAATACATGAATAGGTGCAACTGTAAAAAACTTAAATTAATATTTATGAAGACAGTATCTTAATTTTATTTATTACAAACAAAATAAACTTTAGGTTTTATGTTTCATTTCTACAATTATTTATTTTGTTATAACTGAAATTGTTAAATTATATGTTGCTATCCCTTTATATACGTTGATTTCATGTTTTTTCTAGTAGGTTCCATCAGTGTTCTTTTTTTTTAACGCCATTTATATTTTACCAACCTTTTTTCTATTGTTATTTGTTGCCAAAAGTTTCTAAAAAACTTTTATTGCAATACCACGTTGTCGGCAAAGGTGTCGCGTGCCAGCCATATTTTTGGCTGTCTACCAGAAACAATGCTTATTGATCGCAGTCATTCAGTTGTACTCAACCATTGGATGATACCGTGAAGAATGTAAATAAATATAAAGAACACAAGAGAATTGTATGACCTAAAGTTCTAATCAGTGGCAAATCTATATTATTTTTAGGGGTAGAAGTGCAATATGAAATTTGTCAATTTAATTACCTAAATGAGTAAAAAATGGCACAATTTATTTTCAAAATGTCCAACACTAAGGACTTTGATGAACGATTGCGCGGTATGACATCGCTCCACCTCCTATGATATCACCCCTGGTTCTAATAAACACGACTTCTTGGCAAACAGTCAAGACGTGTTTGGAATTATACCACCAATGTGCAATTCGTCAATGACAGCACGACTTAGTAGTGTGAAATACGTTTTGTTCATTTAGCTGACAGTAACTATCGTCAATTAGAAAAATGCTTATTGAATTTTGAAACGTTTATTTTTTTTAAACAACTGGAATTACTGGACAGTGATGGAACACCCAATAAATTGTTAAAGAAAAAAAATTATACAACACGAAACACGTGGTTTATAAATGATGTAAAATAAACTATTTAAAATGTAAACATTGAATATGTGTTGGACTTTGTTATTAAAAATTATCTACATAAAATTTACACCATGTTAAGTAAATATTTTAATTTGCTTGTACTTTTAATACACTGTTAATTTTTTCTTTTATTAACTTGATCACTCTAGTAATAAAAACAACAAATTTATGTTGAATATATTTAATAAATATTATTTATACATTATGTTTGTATCTTAAAACGAATAACGTCAGTGAAGGTTGATACAATCGTTATTGAGTCATTGTCGCCGGATTTATACTTGCTATTGGTGGAGCTGAAAAATAAGCAAGGAAATACGGAGGTTTGGTTTAGTATAAGTCACCCTAGCGGAATCAAAACTAGGCCGATGGGTATGCAATACACCGTCAAAGAAATGGATAAGTTTACAAAATCGAATGTGAATTATCGTCCTTGGATATGAAGAATAATAATTGAAAATAATTTCAATTTAATGTGACCTTCCATATTTATGGGACCGCCCCTGGTAGTTATCTATTTGGAAAAATAGGTGTCAGGGAAATGGACTATGGGGAATTTGGTCTTCTACTGTTTCATGTGAAATAGATTTATCAATATTAAGAAATCGAACATATTGAAACATTTTACTTTTGCGTTATATAGCTCTATGTTAATATTTGTACTTGATAATTAACTTTTAGTTGTATTTTTATAATTGTAAAATCAACATTTTATGTGATTTTTGTTGAATATCAAACTACTACATTTTTTAAAATGATTGGTTCACATAGTTTGTAACACATGATTACTTAGTTTGTATAATGCATGTCAAGGCTTAACCAAAGGGTCAGTTGTTTGAAATTTGGAGTTCATTTATTGTTTTTGTATGTTATATCAAGTATAAAATACTTCAATAAATGAAATTTCTTTGATGTACTGTGAAATACCAGTCCCGACAAATTTTATTAAATGTTGTTTAGTGTTGTTCAAACATTATACATTTTTTATTTAACAGTTAAATAGTTTTTTGTTGATTTAAGTTTAACTTTTGATATATATATATTATGGCATAGTGAACTGTACATATTGCAATATTATAACTATATGTTTAATAGGCGAGGTAAAAGAAGACGATATGTTAAATGTTAATATTTTTATGAGTAGGAAATAAATAAAACAGCTAATGTCGTACTAAAAAAGTTACTTTTCATAGAAGCCAAACGAAATTTTAAAAATGAATACAACATTAATATTGGATAGCACTAATCCTTAAAATAAGGTGTTATTACAAATATGGGGGATAATGAGTATTATTAAAAAATATGACAATTCTTACTATATAATTATAGATGATGAAATAAAAAACAAACTAGTCTGAATTCCTTAAAAGAATGACAGTGAACGACGTTGTACACGTGATATTAAACGGTAGGTTTTAAAATGAGACGGCAACATATGAAATTTAAATTTAAAAACAAAACTGTATTGATGTAAGAGTTATTAAGTTAGTTATATTTTAATAAAAAAATGAAAGAACT